ATATGCAGTCGCCTACCTTGACGATGTGGCCATATTTTCGGATTCCTGGGCAGACCACCTGGAACATCTACACAAAGTCCTTGAGCGCATAAGGGAGGCAGGACTAACTGTTAAGGCTAAGAAGTGTCAAATAGGCCTAAACAGAGTGACTTACCTTGGACACCAGGTGGGTCAAGGAACTATCAGCCCCCTACAGGCCAAAGTGGATGCTATCCAAAAGTGGCCTGTCCCAAAGTCAAAGAAACAGGTTCAATCCTTCTTAGGCTTGGCCGGTTATTACAGACGATTTGTACCGCACTACAGCCAAATCGCTGCCCCACTGACAGACCTAACCAAAAAGAAACAGCCACATGCTGTTCAGTGGACCGAAAAGTGTCAGAAGGCCTTTAACAAGCTTAAAGCGACACTCATGTCTGACCCTGTACTAAGGGCCCCAGACTTTGACAAACCGTTCCTAGTAACCACAGATGCGTCCGAGCGTGGTGTGGGAGCAGTTTTAATGCAGAAAGGACCTGATCAAGAATTCCACCCTGTAGTGTTTCTCAGCAAAAAACTGTCTGAGAGGGAAAGCAACTGGTCAGTCACTGAAAAAGAATGTTACACCATTGTCTACGCTCTGGAAAAGCTACGCCCATATGTTTGGGGACGGCGTTTCCACCTGCAAACCGACCATGCTGCACTGAAGTGGCTTCACACCGTCAAGGAAACTAACAAAAAACTTCTTCGGTGGAGTTTAGTTCTCCAAGATTTTGATTTCGACATCCAACACATCTCAGGAGCTTCTAACAAAGTGGCTGATGCACTCTCCCGTGAAAGTTTCCCAGAATCAACTGGTTAAAATCGTCCTTGAGATGTGGAAAATATTGTTAGTCTTTATGTACTTGGTAGTATATTTAGAGATGCATGTGTCTTATTAACTCTGTTTTTCCTAGAGCTCCAGGAAGAAATCCCAGCCAGTGTTTCATCCTAGCTGAGATTTGGGGGGCGTGTCATAAATATAAAGGGAAGGGTAAACCCCTTTGAAATCCCTCCTGGCCAGGGGAAAGCTCCTCTCACCTGTAAAGGGTTAAGAAGCTAAAGGTAACCTGCTGGCACCTGACCAAAATGACCAATGAGGAGACAAGATACTTTCAAAAGCTGGGAGGAGGGAGAGAAACAAAGGGTCTGTGTGTCTGTCTATATGCTGGTCTTTGTTGGGGATAGACCAGGAATGGAGTCTTAGAACTTTTAGTAAGTAATCTAGCTAGGTATGTGTTAGATTATGATTTCTTTAAATGGCTGAGAAAAGAATTGTGCTGAATAGAATAACTATTTCTGTCTGTGTATCTTTTTTGTAACTTAAGGTTTTGCCTAGAGGGGTTCTCTATGTTTTTGAATCTAATTACCCTGTAAGATATCTACCATCCTGATTTTACAGGGGGGATTTCTTCATTTCTATTTACTTCTATTTTTATTAAAAGTCTTCTTGTAAGAAACTGAATGCTTTTTCATTGTTCTCAGATCCAAGGGTCTGGGTCTGTAGTCACCTAGGCAAATTGGTGAGGCTTTTTACCAAACCTTGTCCAGGAAGTGGGGTGCAAGGTTTTGGGAAGTATTTTGGGGGGAAGGACGTGTCCAAACAGCTCTTCCCCAGTAACCAGTATTAGTTTGGTGGTGGTAGCGGCCAGTCCAAGGACAACGGGTGGAATATTTTGTACCTTGGGGAAGTTTTGACCTAAGCTGGTAAAGATAAGATTAGGAGGTTTTTCATGCAGGTCCCCACATCTGTACCCTAGAGTCCAGAGTGGGGGAGGAACCTTGACGCTTACATTAAGGAAATCCATTCCACCTTGGTTTAGGAGAGAGACCCCTGATTGACCAATAAGAATCTGGTGTTGCAGATCCCCACAGTGCAATTATTTTTTATTCTCCATTGTAAGTGCAGCTTTTATTTTGGTGAGTTTTGCTCACAGATGCAGAAATGTGGACTTGCACATCCAAAAGTTCTGCAGCCGCTGCTCTTGAGCCCAAGCCTTCATTGTTGCAGAAGATTTTTGCCCTTGGGAAGGATGTAAGATGACCCCATACAATACACTTACTGAATATCTGTGAATCAGCTTCTACACATAAGCAATGACATGTGAACATGGGATTGTAAGGGCTAGATTCACAGGCAAGATAAATGCAGCAAAAAGCAATCCTAAAATTTGTGAACTGTTATGAGACTTCAGGTAGACAAATAGTGATAAGAGACTCTTTTAAATACTCAAAATGTGTGACACAGAGTTTGATGGAATGTAGGGAAATTATTTCACTGCATCAAGTCTCCTGTAGCAGTAAAGTATCACTGGGGCAGCAGGTTTTTATATTTTTTGGTGGCATCCAGAAAAAGTCCAAGGGAGTTTTGCTGTGGGAGGGGGCTTGGGGTCAGTACTGGGTTTACAATGGTGCCCATGGCGCTGTGGCACCAGGCCCACGCTGGGAAAGGGCCCATTACAGACCCCTCTAACTTATCCGCATAGCTGGGTCTGGCCCCTCCCCTGGGGCAGTCCAGCACACAGGCCCTGCTATGTGAGCAGCTGTCATCCAGCAGGTTCCACTCGCCTGTAGGGGGCTCATCACCCAGCAGCTGGGGGCCACTATGTGGCTCGGCAGGGCTGCTGGCCACCGGGCCAATGGGTGTGGGTGGGCTGGGTGGGATCTTGGGAGTCACGTCCCAGGGATCTGCCCCGCTCCGCAGCACTGCTCCAGCTCTGAGCTGTCTCCGCTGCCTGGGACCTGTGGGCGACCCACCTGCCTCCCCGGGGGAAGAGCCACCTGGGACTGGTGCAGAGGCTGGGCCAGTCTCAGCCAGTCACAGGGGACAGTGCCGGGGGTCTCAGCTGGGTGGATCCTGCCAGGCATGTGGGTCCTGAGGGAGCCTGGACGGGGTAGGCTCTGCTCCTGCTCCAGCCTGGCTGATTGCACCACTCCCAAGGGGCCGGAGTTATCCTGCCCCAGGACCAGCTCTGGCTGCGCTGCCGGCTCAGCCTGGCAGACACAGTCACCTCCCATCAGGGCTGGCTATTGTGGCCAGGTGTCAGGGTGTGGGAGAGTAGGTCTCCAGTGGGTCTGGGGGGTGGTGCTGGGCAGTGGAGGGTGGGGAGATCTGTGTGTGTTGGGGGGCTGGGAAGTGTGGGGGGTCTGTGCGGGACACTCTGCAGTTGTGGTGGTGGGGGGCACTGGGCCGTGAGGGGATCTGTGTGTGTGTGTGTGCACAGGGTGCCGTGCAGTTGTGGGAGGGTTGTGGGGGGTGTTCGGGTAGTGGGGCACTGGGCAGTGAGAGGAGCTGTGGGGGAGTTCTGGATGGGGGGGCTGTGCTGGGCATAGTGGTCTGTGGGAGGGCACTGGGCATGGGGGTTTGTGGGGGGTCTCTGGGTGGTGTGGCACTGGGTGTAGGGAGTCAGGGGGGTAGCATGGTGCAGCATGGGCCCGTCCCCAAGGGAAAGAAGCATGATGGCAGGGCAGCGCAGGGCTGGGCAGTGTGCATCTGGCAGCTCCCAGTTTGTAAACAGTGCCCTTGTACTGGGCTGGGTGGAGCAGGCCAGCCCCTCACTCTGAGAACTCTGCCCCCCTGCTCCATGTCCCCATTGCCCCCATGGGGGCCCACAAATATGTTTAGCATTGGTTAATCCGGCCCTTTTTGGGGTGCAGGCTCTGGGATGGAGTTGGGGTACTGGAGGGTTGCAGGCTATGGGGAGTTTGAGTGAGGGGTGCAGGCTCTGACCTGGGGCAGGGGATTGGGGTACAGGAGGGGTACAAACATGTGGGCTCTGGGAGTTAGCAACTCAGCACGTTGTATAAAGAGAAAGGCGCTGCAGTGATTTCATATAGACATAGAAACTGATAGAAGACTCTTTTACATATTCAAAATGTGAGATGCAGAGTTTGAGGGAGGGCGTGTCTGTACAATATTTCACAACATTCAGTCTCCTGGCTGTAGCAGTAATGTGGGCCTGCAGATAGAGAGGAGCTGAGGTGTCTGAGCACTGACAGTCTAGGAATTGGGAGGCCTGGGCCGTTAAGAACCCACCCTCTGCTCCGGGGCTGACATACAGCATCCTATGAGGAGGACGAAAAAGCCTCTGCCCCGACCCCGCCCTAGATTTGCGAGCACAGCAGGTGGCTCTCTCCCCCTCCCTAAACGGGGGTTTTGTCCCCCCACAGGGTCTGGCAGAGTCTTCCCCCTCCCCCAGGCTTAACCCCAGCTACCACCCCTGATTTTCCCCCTTCAGCCCCTCTTCTGCCGCTACCTACAGTAGCTTGATCCCCCCTGCCAGTAAATTTCTGCCCCCTGCTCAGATCCTGACACCCCCCACCCCCGCTGCGATCTGCCCCCCTTAATCCTTTTAAACCCCTCCAAAGGGGAGGCAGCAAATCGTAAGGAGACGTAAGGGCAGAGAGAGGGCAGTGACAACAGCGAAGGTTACTGGGCATGCTCAGTGCACCCAAAGAAGGGCACTGGGAGAGGGAGCTGTTTGTGCCCTGATCATCATCCTGGGAGGTTTCCCCACCCAGATGCAGCCCTCGGGCCAAAAAGTTTGCCCACCCCTGCCATAGTCCCATAGTTGTGCAGCAAAAAAACTTATAAGAATCTAAAAATGTTATGAGCATGCCATGGTAGGGGGCTGTGTACCCAGAGCCCCCTTGTCCTTAACCCCACTCAATGCCATTGTTCAAGAAATAAGGATTCCCTTGTCTTTCTTCTTCCCTCTAGTTAAGCAATGCTCGCTGATTAATCAGCGCTGGCTCTCTGCTATTATAGTCCCCCTAGAGAGAAAAGTCCCACCAGACAGTCATTCTCTCACTTGCACACCGCATGGGCAATTATATTCTCTCTGCGAAGCCGGTCTGAGCCCCTTCTTCCCTGGTCTTGCTGCACAGGGGCGCTTGGCACCTACTGGTCTGGAGAGCCCGAGCTGAGATCAATGTCCAGCGACCCCCTGGGGTCAGCGAGACCCACAGCGTGAGCCACACGTGTGTGCAAAACGTTGCAAGAACCTGCTGCTTTTGTAAAACGCCGCCCGCCGCCCGGTGGGTGTGTGTGCGACAGGGACCCCTTGCTGAGATGACCCAGGTCTGGGCACCCCCCCAGGAGGGCACAACTCAAGCGCAACTGAGCCGGGCCACACCAGGAGCAGCCCCGATCCCGCGGCCGAGCCCGAGCACAGCTTCCCGGACCCTCACTCCCCTCGGCATCCCTGCAGCAGCCCACGGCAGAGGAAAAGTCCTCCAGCAGCCTAGACGGGTTTGCCGCCTGGTGTGCTCAAACCCACCCGCACTCTATGGTGCGCGGGCACTTCCGGCTTCTCGGCCGCCGGGAGGATGAGTGTCGCCGGGGAGCGGCCACGTGACGCCCCGGGGCTGGGGCCCGCCTTCGGCCCGTCGGCCCTGGGCACCAAAGAGCAGTGAGTCCCGGGCGGGGCGGTGCCGGGCCCGGGGCCTGCCCAGCACCTTGGAGGCCGCGCCGCGCCTCGCCCCTGGCGGGCGCAGGGGTATCTCCACCGGCCTGGGGAGGCCGGGAGGCTGCAGGCGGGGCCCCGCCCCGGTGCCCGGCCCTGGCGGCTGGGTGTCGCTCCCCCGCGGGCAGGTTTTTCAGAGGGGCGGCGGCTGTTCGGCTCCCAAGGAGGGTTGCTAGTTTGGGCCGGGCTGTTCCTGGGAGGTTTCATCACCTTGACGTAATCTTCAATTAAAGATTCCTCTTTAATTCCTGGAGACTCCAGGGCAAGCGGTTGGCAACCCTAGTCCCAAAGCCCATTGGCATTCATTGGGACCTTGGTACCTGCCTCCCCTAGGCTGCCTTGGGCTCTGCGGCTGCTGAGGCCTGGTGAAGTCTTCGCTGCGGCTGCGAGGTGTCATCCCCAGCCCGGGCGGGCAGGCTGGCAAGTTGCCTTAGGGCATTGAAATAGCGATGTGGCTTCGGCGATGCAGGTGGTGGCTGGGTGCATGTCCCCTGGGATCAGGAAGGGTTGTACTTGGGTGCTGCCCATACCTTTGATCACACCACAGGTGCTGGCGCAACCCCGGCTTGAAGTGGTTTCCGTTATATACAATGTTTACAGTTTGGTTCTTTGGCTCTCAGCACCCCCACTAGGAAAATTGTTCCAGCATCCCTGGGTCACGCTGCCATTTATAGCGTGTGAGCTGCAGCAGAGCTAGCATATATAATGGATTCCTTCCTGAGCTGGAAATCAAACCTCCCTGCCGATACTCTCTGGGCTTGTCTACACAGAGAAATTGACTGCTCTAGCTATTCCAGAATAGCTCCCCCTGTGGACACTCTATTCCAGAATAATCAGAGTGTGATTTATTTCAAAGCAGAATAGTTTACTCCTCAATAGCTATTCTGGGCAATTTCCCCATGTAGACAATTGTGAAGTAAAAATTATCAGCTTTTTGTAATTTCTCATTAATTAATGATATTTTCCCCAGGCACTAGATCTCAGCAAAGTTAGTTGCATCTCTCCTTGTTTCAGTCTTTTTTCCTTTTTTAATTTGATTGTAGAGTTTAGGAGGAGAGCATGTGACCTTAAGTATGTAGCAATGTGTTCTAGGCCTAGTATTTTCTCTTGAACCTGAGGAATGAATCCTTAGTACATTGTACAATTTTCTAATTATTCTTCATCACCTGCTACAGGAAAAAAAAAGTTGTTTAAAAGAAGTTTTTTGGACTCTGTGAAAAATACATCATGGTAACTGGTATAAAAATGAAAACCTTAGAAGGTGGTGGTTCTGAAAGCTTTTTATAATCCTACAACTCAAAAGCAGTTCCATTTTAAAATCCAAAATTTAAACATGAGCTATAATGTTTCAGGCTTTAAGCTCAATCTCAAGAGCAGTCAGAAAAATCTAATTTTTTCCCCTCAATGCAGTTCATATCTATCAACCTGCACCTTTTCAGTTCACTCTGATCATCCAGAGTTATTTGTATTGTGGACAAAATGTTCCACATCGGTTTGTATAATATACAAATAAACCTTTGACTGAGCAATACCATGGCGAACGTAATGAGTTCTAATATGGATCATAAAATCACTTAATATGCCATTCATTTGGTTCTCAGGTTTTGTAAGGATCAGATTGGCAGTGATTTCTTTTATTTTTGCTCAATGTTCTCAGAGTTTGTAAGGAGCTTCACACCTTTATGGATGCTGCAAGGCTCCAGAAAAGGAACATTAGAGCATATGAGTATGACAAACACCATTATAACCTTATTGATCTAACTTGGCATTAAAATGCTTATTGGAACATGTGCTGTCCTTGCAAGATGGAGACTTTTGATGTACTTTGGCAACTTTACACTGTTCCATCCAATGGGATCCAACCACTGGAGAATCTCCCCTGGGTTAGCCTTGGCATATAGTCACCAAAGCTATTCCCATGCCACCTCTTAAATATTGGTTGCCTGTATAGGAAGCGTGGTTTGGGATAAAGAGATGTGACTGGGGCTCCCAGCAATTCCTAGCTCCTACAACAGTCTGTTGGGGCTGTTGGCAGCTAGTGGAGGTTATAACAGTCTGACCTACTCTGGAGGACTAACTCAATGTGCAGAACAACCCCAGGATCAGGGGAATGCAAAACCACACTGTTGCCTCCCACCCCCGTACCCCTCCTGGGTTGTGCTATACACTACTCAACCGGAGCTGGAGATCCAGCCCTTTGTTTTGATGCACATGTCTAATTTGGGAAATTCAACAGCTTGTGGGTTGGACATGGGGTGTATGATATGTGAATACAATCTCCACCTGTGCCCTTTCTTCCTGATCGTTCATCGAAGTCATTCCTGTGTTAATTTCATATTCTGTCCTCTCTTCCTCTTTAGCTGGGATGCTGCATATGAAAGTGAATTACAGATTTTTCAGGAGAGTGAAGATGCTGGGGAAATTTGGTAAATAAAGAGAATAACTATCAATGGACATATGCATATTTTTATGCTTTTGAAAATATATGTAGTAAAAGCAAAATAAAAAACTCATTGGGTCACTGGGTAGTTCAAAGTATTAGTCATATGATACGGAGCTTTTTACCTTGGAGTCACCAATTCCTATTTGGCCCAAATCTGTTGTGACTGAAAATTGTTAGTTACCCCCTGAAAATTAGTTGTGTGTGCCATGAGTTGGTGGTTGCAGTCTGTTTTACTACTAGGCACGTACTCATATCACCAAGGACATCCATTATTATCATCAGAGGCTAAGAATTAAATAGGCAGCCTAGGGAAGCTTCCAATGCAGGCTTTATTTTATGTGGCCATAAAGAGGGCCTTAGTTTCAAGTACTGCTAATCCCAGTGGGTTTTAAGCCATTTGGTTTACTTAAAACTTAAACAAATCAGACTTGGAATATGATCTATATAGGTTGTTGCCTAGATGCTATAGTGACAGGTGCTTTACGAATGCCAGATAGGGGGAGAGATGAAGTACAGTTGCTGCTGTGCCTTTCATGTGTCCTGGATATGTTGATTACTCAAGCCTCTGTTTCTGATAGGTTTGGAGAAGAAAGCATGATTCGTTTAATCAGATGGATGGAAAAACAAAAGATCCCTCTGGACAGCTCTGTGCTTGACATTGGAACTGGAAATGGTGTTTTACTTGTTGAATTGGTTGGTATTTTGTAAAATTACAGAATCAAGGCTAAGAACAGAGTATATACATTTACTGCAAATGAGAGAATATTTGCTAGTTTCAGCTGATGCTGACATTATAAAAAGCAAAACAAAACTTAAATTAAAACTGCCATAGCGTGTTTTCCCATCAAGAGCACATTGGTTGTTGTGCATACAGTCTTTTACTTTAATTGATGTAGTTGTACTGATTGAAATTCACTCGGTTAGGGAACATCAGCAAATGAAAACTGGTAGTGTGTGATAGCAGCAGGTTTGCCATGCAGCCTAAGGGAGTTAGGCACCCAAGTCTCACTAAATTTCAATGGTGTTTGGGCACCTAACTCCTTTAGGGACTTTAAAAATACCAGCTCTAGCAAACTAGAGTGAAGTTTTGTTTTACTGGATGGAAGAGGAGCTATTCTTTTGCCAGAGCTGTTTAGATCAGGGATTCTCCACCTTTTTCTTTCTGAGGCCCCCACAATATGCTATAAAAATTCCACGGTGTGTCTGTGCCATAACAACTGTTTTTCTGCATATAAAAGCCAAGGCCAGCATTAGGGGGTAGCAAGGAGGGCAATTGCCTGAGGTCCCGTGAAGCTAAGTTGCTCAGGCTTCAGCTTCAGCCCTAGGTGGCAGGGCTTGGAGGTCCAGGCTTCAGCCCCAGGTGGTGGGGCTTCGACTTTCTGCCATGGGCCCAAGCAAGTGTAATGCCAATCCTGCTTCGCAGACCCCCTGAATGCTGCTCCCAGCCCCCCAGTGGGCCCTGGACCCCTGGTTGAGAACCACTGGTTTAGATTACAACTTTCTTGTGAATGTCTTCTGTTTCTCTGAGTACTTTAAAGGGAACTGTAAATTGAAATCTAATCAGTTTCAAAAACTGTTATAAATAATTTCCGGTTCTGTACCAGCTCCTAAATTCCCCTGCCAGTGTTCGTAGATTTACTATGATATTTTCTTATATTTTAAAATGCTTTCCTCTGCTCTATTGCTGTGTGCAAGACCCACAACAGAGAGAATTGACATACTGTATATTGGAAATAGTGAAATTGATACACAAAGGGCTGTCAAATGCACAAAATAGAGACGTTCCCCCCTTTCATCTTGGTTATACCACCCTTAGCATTACTTGTGAAAATAGTAGTTAAAATATTTTCAGGCAGAAGTGTTGTTTTTTAAGTTGATGGTATCCCTTTAATTAAAAACAAAACAGTGATAATTTTTCTCTTGAGGTGGAAACAGAGTACCAAGTATGTTTTAAAAGCTGATATTGTTATTTCACAGGGGTACAATAGGGCATGAAGTTGAGCAGTCTTCAGTAAGTTTAGTTATGAGTAGTTTTGTGTTCCTTTTCACATTTTTGATTAAATGCTTTGGTAGAATGTCCCAGCTGGTTTAGACTGAGTCAGTATATGGCATTCACTGTACTAGCACTTATCCATAGGCTGTAGCAGTTAAAGCAGAATTTAAGTTCGTGTGCAGCTCTTGTATTTTTTTTAAAGTTTATAGTCTCCATGAATGTGAGCCAATGCTGTCTTGTCTTCCTGAATCTGCAGATAGACAGAAACCGTAGCACCGAGAAGTATAACTGTCCCATCTATCTCATTAGAGATGTTAATTTGAAAGCTAATAATTTTAAATTTACTTAAATTTAAATTTAAGTGCCCCAAAGTATTGTGGTTTGACCAGGAAAGTTATTTTTAAGTGAAGTACTAGTCTGAAAAATGACTGAGATGTTGATTGTTTACTCTCAACTCAAGATGAGATTTGCTCAGTTTATAAAAAAAAGCATGAGTTTTTCCAACTGGCAGCTCTGTAACCTCAGCCCAGGATCTGGAAGTAATGCTGGGATTCTTCTGGCCCATGCATCATCAACAGTAATAAAATTCTACAGCTGGAAGTTGGGACCTGATAATTCCATAGAAACTGCAGTGCTGAAATGAAGTTAATTAACTAAATAGGATGGAACATCTCTGGAAGGTGGTTGTACAGGTTATGTGGTGGGCTGTCATCAGAGCAAGAAGAGGTGAAGTGAAGTCATATCTTGGTTCCCAGGGGAAAAGTAGACATATGTATAAACAGTCAGGAACAATAAGTGGGATTATACAGTAACTCCTCACTTAACGTTGTAATTGTGTTCCTGAAAAATGCGACTTTAAGTGAAAGGATGTTAAGCGAATCCAATTTCCCCATAAGAATGAATGTAAATGGGGGGGTTTAGGTTCCAGGGAAATTTTTTTTTTGCCGTACAGTACTATAGTTGGGAGGTGCCCCCGCCTTACCCCACACAGGCACAGCCCACTGGCACTGGAGACAGTGAGGCAGGCAAGGAGGCTGAAGGTGCTGTAGGCTAGGAGAAGCACATTGCGCAGCAGCAGCGGAAGCTTCCTCTACTCTCCAAGCACCAGGGGCGGGGGGCTCAACCCTCGGGCCGCCCACTCCACCCCTTCCCTGAAACCCCCACCCTTAACCCGCCTCTTCTTACCCCACCAGCCCCCTTTCTCTGCATGCCGCGTCCTTGCTCCTCCCCCCCTCCCTTCCCTGCCTCCTGCCCACAGCAATCAGCTGGCTTGCGGCATTCAGGAGGGAGGGGGGAGGAGCGAGGACATGGCGCACAGGCCTCCCCCCCCCCCTCCCCCCCGCCTCCTGAACACTGCAAGCCAGCTGATTGCCGGAGGCAGGGGAGGGACGGGGGAGGGTGCATGGTGCGTCCTCGCTCCTTCCTCCTGCCCGCGGCAGTCAGGTGGCTTGCGATGTTCAGGGGGCAGGAGGGTGGGGGGAGGAGCGAGGACTCTGCTCGCAGCCTGCCCCCTCGCTCCCCTGCTTCCTGCCCATCGCAATCACCTGGTTTGCGGCGTTCGGGAGGGAGGGGGAGCCTGGGCGCCAAGTCCTCGATCCTCCCCCCTCCCTCCTGAACGCTGCAAGCCAGCTGATTGCCGCAGGGAGGAGGGGGAAGGCACTGATCTGCGGGGTCTGCCTGCGGGTGGGAGGCGGTGTGGGGGGCATAGGGAAGCTGATATGGGGGCTATCAGCTGTGGACAAAGCAGGCAGCCAAACGACATTGTAGCGAAGCATTGCAAAACTTTAAATGGAGCATGTTCTGTAATTGAGCAGGGACGTAGGATCGAAACAACGTTAAGCAAAAGTATATTAAGTGGGGAGTTACTGTACTAAGAAAAATTATTCCCATGGAGATTAATGCTGGTTGAGGCATTAACTCCTGTGCAGCAGGCTGTATATAGATGAGGAAAAGCATACTGACAAAAGTAGGTGGCTCTAGAAGAAGTCAAGCAGAAACAGAATGCCATATGCCAACATACCATAAGCAGGTACACCACATGAGTGACCATTGTGATGCTAACAGATCCTGATACCCATCCACAAGCCAAAGCACCCGCTAGTGGGTACAATACTCACATTGTTGCATGTATCATACAGGCACGGTGGGGAAACTGCCATTCTGCAAGTTCCAAGAGACAAGCTCTTGAAAACTGTTGTCCTTTCCTTTATTTTTTTTCTCTTTTCTTTCTGTCTTTGCTCCCCGTATTTGTTATCCCACCACCCACAATGTTGGGTCCTCTTGCTCTTTGACATATGTGTATCATGAGGAGCCTGTGGACCTGCTTATTGAGTGTCTAGTGTTCTGACTCTCAGAGCAGTTGTGACTTCTCCTGCCTGTGTTTGTGACGAGCTTTTCTCCTTCAGCTACCTTTTCCTGGATACAGCACCAGGAATTTAGCCCATTCACTATTAATAGCAATGGAAAGACTGATAGGGCAATCAGGGCACCACTTATGACTCTGACCTCTCTGTTTCTTGAATAGCAAAGAGCAGAAAACATGTGACTCCCTATTAACAGAGATTGTCAGTACATTCTTTAATGAGGGAAATCTACCACCCAATTCAGAACATGCAATAATCTGGCAAACATTAAAGAAACCATTGCTCAGTGCTAGTGACCTTGAAAACTATGACCCAGTATTTAACGTCCTTTTTCTAAGCACACTAATCAAGAAACCAGCTAAAAGCATTTTCCAACATCAACTACCAGTACCATAGGTCAGGGCATGGTACAGAGACATCATTGGTTGCTCTGTTGTGTGATTTATTTTCCTCGCTGTGGAAGAGGGTAGTTAGTCCACATACGTTCAGCTGGAGCACACTGCAGTATTCAATATCATTGATCTCCAAACACTCTTGTCCTGTACCAAGAGAATGTAGGTGAAGCTGTAGGGTGAGCTGAAACTCCCTGAAGTGAATCATGTTGTTCCTCAAACACCAAATTGAGAGGGCTGGTTTGGGGACTGTTCTTCCACCTCCAAAGCCCTCAACTATGAAGACTTGCAAGGCTGGGTGTTCTGGGAAGACAACAGGGGCAGAAGTCTTAGCAGTACACAGCTTTTTGTCAGATCTCTCCATGCCAAATGTGAACAACACAGTCTCTCAGCTTTCCTGATGTTTAGCTAAAATTTAGAGACTGGATTAAAAGCAGCTAGTTAAAGCTGAACTCACAGAGGTTATGCTGTTAGGAAGAACGTGCTGCAAAAAGTGTGTCTTTGTATATCCGCTGCTATCCAGGGCATCAGCCTTCCTATTAAGTCAGTGCACAGCCTTGGATAACTTTGAACTTCTTAATGCCATTGAATGCCCAAATGGCCATCTTGTCATAAGAACACCTACTTATATCTGCTGCTGGCCAGAAGATCGCACCTTCCATGGTGGATTCAGACCTGGCCACTTGTGACATTCAGACTTCATTTTTGCAATTCATTCTATCTAGGAATGAAACCACACACTCTCTGGTAAAATGCCAGCAGGTACAAGATGTAGTAACTCATCTGCTTAACAAAAGGTTTGCCATTAACACATTACCTCTGCGCTCTGCCCTCTGCACTGGTTTATTGAGTACAGAGTCTAACTCAATGTCTGTGTGGCACAGCACGTAATTGGCTTGTGGAACTCGCTGATGATACTGAAGCAACGAACCCCGTGGCATTCAAATAAGGATTAGATGTTAATGTGAATAATCAGAATGTCATGTAGTTACACCAGCGAGGATAAAAGGTATTAGGGATTTCAGTATGCTTCAGGACAAATCAAGTACCTGCCTGAATTTAAGAAACAAATTTTCCCGTAGCTATGTTATTGTATAATTGTCCAGTATGGAGGATTTACTCCTTCCTTTGAATCATCTGATACTGACCGTTGTTGTGATCTGTATGGAAATGCCTGTTTTCTTAGTTTCCCTTTTGGTGCAGATTAGAGGATGTATTATTGTTTTTTACAACTACTTCTGTAGCGTGTTACTTGTCATGGTTCTGCTCAGTTTTCCACCTATTGGAAGGAACTAGCTCTTAGTTAACAATTCTGTTGATGATGTACAAAACAAAATAGAATAACAGCTCATGCTCCCATAGCTTTTTTGGTTCTACAGAGGTATCAGGAATAAAAATGAGTAAAAGCTTTTTTTGTCATTAGGATGACTAGAATTGACTTGGATTATACACAGGGAGCAGACCTGCTGAGTAAGGATAGTTTGCTAGCACATTGAGTAAGATTCTCTCTCTTTCTCTAGGCAAAATGTGGTTACACTAATCTCACTGGAATTGATTACTCTCCTTCTGCAATACAACTTTCTCAAAACATAATAGAGAAAGAAGGGCTATCTAATATTAAATTGCAGGTAAGTGTTCAGAGAGATTATGTTAAGGAAAATAGAAAGCAATTGATCTTGAGAGATTATTCGAGTCACTTGATTTCAGACACGTTAATATACTGACTACATTTTTTGAAATCTAATTGTAGTTCTGCTCACTTGAGGAGGACTCTAACCAACAGTTTATTAATATGTCTGTATTTACCAGAAGATTTCTTGGTTGGTGAAGATTTTACTCCCTTTGACACCTGTGCAAAACTCCCATTTAGTCGAACAAGAGTGTCATCCCTGAGCAAGGGGAGAGACTACATCACACTTTAAAAGATCAATTCTGTGTTCTAGATTATATACTCTGACTTTCAGATAAGGAATAGCAGACTAAATATGTCAAACTATAAAAAATTCAACAATGGTTAGGCAGCTGGTGTACAGAGACCACTGCTTTTCATGCTGACCACTTTTATCTCATTGTTAGCTTGTGCTTTTCCCGTCTGGATGTTCTCTTTTCTTATACTGAGGGTAGGTCTACACTACAGTGGGGATCGACGCTCTGAGATCGATCCACCAGCAGTCTTTTTAGTGGGTCTAGTAAAGACCCGCCAAATCGACAACAGAGCGCTCTCCAGTCGACCCCATACTCTACCCTGACAAGAAGAGTGAGGTAAGTCGACGGGAGACCTCCCCGCCGCAGTAACTCGACCTAAGGTACGTCGACGCCAGCTCCATTATTCAAGTAGCTGGAGTTGCATAGCGTAGGTCAACTTACCGCGGCAGCGTATACATAGCCTTAGAATAGATCATAAACTCCTTGGGCTGTGTCAGTTTTGTTCTGTTTATATGCTGCCTAGCACTCTGGGACCCAGGTCCATGACTGGGGCCTCTCAGTGCTGCCACACTGCAAATAGTAAATAATACCGTAGAATGAACTCCCAAATACGTTAAAGATTGTGAGGTGCTTAAATACTACTGTAATGGAGCCCAGCTACGCATTTCAAATAGGTAGGCAGGTAGCTGGGTTCAACTAAAGATTTTTGTATAATGCAAAGGGAGAATCAAATTGACATGGCATCAAAATTATGCAAAGAAGTTGCATTGTAAGCACTTCCCAAATAGACCTAGTGTAAGGAACTCATGCAGCCCATGTAGGGATGTACTTGTCTGTAAGGTACTCATGCAGCCTTTGCAGAATTTGTAACTGAATTAGTATAGTTTACCCGATATTGGTCATTGCCCACCAGAGGATGCCCAGGCTGGCTATATAAGAGCTCAGCGAGTGCCAGTCAGTGTCTGCTCAGTGAAATGGCTGCCTGGCTCCTTAACCACTAGCTGCTGTGTTGTGTGCTTGGAATAAAGCCTGAAACTGCTTCAGCTGATCTCAAGTCTGTTGTGAGTGTTATCTTGTTCCATGACACTTAGATGTTGTCAATTTTTGTACCCTCACAAATGAAAGCACCAGTCTACATTAGAGATGCAGCATTTCCCAAATAAAAGATGATTATTTACATAGTTGTACACTTTTGATTTAGGTAAAAGACTTCTTGACTCCATCAGCTGAGCTATCAGGATTTCAGATTTGTATTGACAAGGGAACTTTTGATGCCATAAGCCTTAATCCTGACAATGCAGCTGAGAGGAGGAAGCAGTATGTGAAATCCCTCTGCACGGTATTGAAAATGGAAGGCTTTTTCCTCATAACCTCTTGTAATTGGACCAAAGAGGAGCTGCTAAATGAGTTCAGAGAAGGTAAGTAGTTGGGCAGAGTTATCTGCCAATTTATGGTTGTTTAAGGTTTTAAGTAGGTAAATGTTAATGTCCTTTTATTGCTGTGTTTATTTTATCAGAGCGGGATTAGATATCACAGTGATAAAACGTGGGTGTGTGTCCTGAGCCTTATCCTCACTACAGCTTCCATCGTTGTAGGCATGGGTATGGAGTTATGGCTCCCATTTTTACCAGTATAGATGCACTTTAAGAGTGAGGATTTTTTTTATACCTTCCAACCGCAGAGAACAAGAATTGCAGGCAAGTTATTATGGAGAAGAAGAGAATATATGGCTTTTTTCCTGTGGTCTTTAAAATAGATCCCCCATTCACCCACCCAGCTCACCTTAAAATTGGGATAACATTTTTAGCTTTTCTCTTAGTCACAAAGGAACTGGCAGTTGTAGGCTGTGACATTCCATGTGCACGCACATGTCACTTGCTCAGTGAACCTCCTGATGGGTCGGAATTCTTTTACTTGCTAGTCAGCTTCTGAATCTCATGCCTGAAGCTTGAAACCCAAGTGTGCCAAGAACTAGAATTGCTGGCAAATTCTTATCTCTTCTTTCATTAGTCTACACACTGCAGCTAGCTAAGATTTTATTATCTATGGAGGAGTTTCAGCTATATAAAGAAGCAATATAAGACACAGTACTATACACTTACATAGTAAATGACTTGCTTGTTTTCCATATGAATTAAGAGTGGTTTGCAAAAGGTTATCCAAGGGAAGAGTAACATGACTTCTTAATAAAAGCATTAATTTCTGTCTGGCAGGATTTGAAATTCTGGAGGAGCTGCCAACACCCAAGTTCTGCTTTGGAGGGAGGATTGGAAACAGTGTAACAGCCTTGGTTTTCCAAAGAAAAAATTAAGGCCATCAATCTTAGACAAATTAGATTAGTTGAGAAAAGAAAAGTCTGCACTTCAAAGTAAACCTGATGCAAAGGAGAGAGAGAGAGGAAAACACCTCCAGTATTGTGTAAATAACTGCTCACTGAGTACACAATAAAATACAGTGCATGTGCTGAACTGCAATGGGCTTCCATAAAATTCAGGGCAAGTTATATAAATCTGAAATGTTTCTAGGGTAAATTCTGCCCTGGTGCCGTTTCTCTGTGTTATAGCTTCATTTATTTCAACAAAATTGTATGGGTGTAAGTGAGGAAAAATGTGGTACTCTAATTTTTCAGAGACCAACTAAAACTATTCACATTAGTTTTGCATTTGAAGTGTAAATATTTTTTCCTATTTATTTTTGATTTTGGTTTCTAGTGAACAGTTTAAAATAAATTTAAGCAGTAATTGAATCATACAAAGCAAGAAGTCTTATTTCTGTGGTGTTTGGCGTACTAATGAACATGCTTTTGAGATCTAAACACTGGGTAATATTTTATTTTATTTTTGTAAATGAAACATGTATGTTACAGTGTAATCCGAAATCAACCTTTAGTTAAATAAGGAGGAAAATGGATGTAAAGACTGTAGCACTCACAAGACATTGTAATATAGTGCTTTGGGGCAGGATTTTCATAAGTGCTCAGAATTGGCCTACTTCTACTTCCACCAAAATCCATTGACTTCAGTGGGAGTAGAGTTAGGCTAACATTGAGTACTTTTAAAAATCCCTTCCTGAATCTCTAATATGTGCTCGCTAATACTGATCAGTACCATCGATCCAATTAAATACTTAAAAGACGCTGTTTGGTGTTATTACAGCTTCTCAATAGCAGATATGCTTACCTATTTCAATATTAATTTATAGTATGCTAATGTGTTATGAAGGGCCACTAATGAACATCTTCTCCAATGAATTTTGTATGACATTTTAGTTGCAAAAAACCCAAACAGAGACCACAAAACCCCACATCCCCAGCCTAATAACCCTGGTTATATTTATTATTGTTTTTAACCCATGTTCATTTCTTCGTTTATTATTTTATATTTGTGGAATAACGATACAGATGCCTGGAGAGAGAGAGGAAAGAAATATTTTTCCTTCTTTTATGACTTGCCCCACGCACATTTTCAAATGGCAGTAAACATGACATTTTAAGCATCCAACAACTCCTATTAGGCAATTTGTTCTCATGGAAGAAGAATGTCATGTTTGCTCATCAAGGAAATGTTTTTCCTGGTTCTCAGTCTGAGCAGGTTCGTTGGCTGCCCCGCTCCTGTTCTAGTGCTCCCCCTCTGCAAGAAGTAAGGACCAGAAGAGCTGTACAGTAGCAGATCCTTCATCATTAACCTGCCCCCAGGGTGGCATTCCCGAATTCTGCACCTCCTTGCACAATGGAACTGTGCTAGTTCCACTGAAAAATGACCCAACAGAAGTAGAGAGCAGGTTTTGGTCCCAAATGAGAATGTTTCTTTATATGCTTAGGCAGCCTAGTATCCTTACCTACGTTCAAAGTTTAAAAAAAAGTTAGATGTGGTGATGTTACCATTTGAATAGCCAGTGGGGTAGTATTTACTACCTCCCACCCAAAGGTTTCCAGCTGCACATAGGACTACTAGTGCCTGTAAGAGTTGCCCATCATCAGTTCCTACCTTGGATATATTGATGAGATAACAATAAATCTTTGGAGAGATGTTCCCAAGCCTTAAAATGTGGGTCTGAATTTTTGTAATAAATGTGGGATCAGGTGGATCTAATACAAGCAGATTTTAACTGACACACACACACCCCAATATGGGGTGTTTGCCTATGAGGCTTCTGTTTTATTTCCATCTGTAATCTTTGCTAATCTAGGAGTGATATAGGGTTTAAAAGCATTAAAATAAATCAACTATGATCGCAAACTACAGGAAATTCCTTTAATCAACCAACAGGAATTTAACCATAATTCTTCAGTCCATAAGACTTCCATGGTTTAGGCCTGTTATTGCTTTGTTTTGTTTTTTAAAATGACTGATTTCTATTTTTTTAATATTAGATTCTGTTATCTAGATTATTTTTATCCATGCAGCTATATAAAAATATGAAGTCTCTCCAACTATTTATTCAAATCTTGACTTGAAGAATTCTTACAAATAAATGTGCATCAGGCAAAATTGGTGATAGAACTGAAATTGGATCAATCCTCTGACATTTTATTTAATTTTATTTTTTCAGCAAAGCTTTTAACAGTATAGATTATAAATTCTCATCTTAACACTGGTTTGAAGATTTTCTATGGGCCCTATTCTCCACTGTGTGAGAGATTTTCTTCTGGATGGTTTCCTTGGTGTGGGAAAGAGGTGGATCAGCTCCCCAAACCTATGTATCTTTGTAGGAAAAGCTAAGGCCCTGTGACTCACTGCAGTATTCCCTCCCAGCTCTCCTCAGCAGTATAGCTCGATAGGCAACAAGGCCTGCATAGATGCTACACACTGCCTTCAAACATCTCCCCCCACCTGCTCTCTTTGAAAGGGAAAGGGGTGGGGAGGGGTTTGGTAGTGCAGAGGAGATGCACACACCTATTCAACAAGCACCGTCAACTTGGAAATAATCTTTCCATTTGCAACTGTTGTACCTAGTATTGTTACAATTAACTCCCCCTCCACCCTCAAAAGATTACTGTAACTGAAAGTGTGTAGAGAGAGGAACTCCCCGCCCAGGTTGCTTGCTTTGCGCATCTGTCAGCACTCTGTGTATAGTCAGTTTCAATGTTTAATTGATGGTCAGTTGTGTTTCCTGGTCTCATGCGTTACTCGGGGATGGACCTTACCTGCGTGCTGTTCCTCAGGCTCTGTAAGAAGGTGTTTAACAAGAGCAGTAAAACTAAGAAGGAGGAATCAGTAGACAGGAAGTGGTGGAAGAAATGGGGTGGCCCAAGCAGGTTTGGTGGGGTTGGCGGGGAGGGATAGCTCAGTGGTTTGAGCATTGGGCTGCTAAACCCAAGGTTGTGAGTTCAATCCTTGAGGGGGCCATTTAGGCATCCAGGGCAAAAATTGGGGATTGGTCCTACTTTGAGCAGGGGGTTGGCGTAGATGACCTCCTGAGGTCCCTTCCAACCTGATATTCTATGATTAATAGATTTTAATTCTAGAAGGGGCCATTGTGTCAACACAAGCCAAAAATCTAACAGAGTGGTTTCTTCATCTAGTCTCGAGTTCTCCTGCTCTTGCGCATGCCCAAAAGACTCTTCTAATCATAGAATCATAGAATATCAGGGTTGGAAGGGACCTCAGGAGGTCATCTAGTCCAACCCCCTCCTCAAAGCAGGACCAATCCCCAACTAAATCATCCCAGCCAGGGCTTTGTCAAGCCTGACCTTAAAAACCTCTAAGGAAGGAGATTCCACCACCTCCCTAGGTAACGTATTCCGGTGCTTCACCACCCTCCTAGTGAAAAAGTTTTTCCTAATATCCAACCTAAACCTCCCCCACTGCAACTTGAGACCATTACTCCTCGTTCTGTCATCTGCTACCACTGAGAACAGTCTGGATCCATTCTCTTTGGATCCCCTTTCAGGTAGTTGAAATCCCCCCCTCATTCTTCTCTTTGGCAGACTAAACAATCCCAGTTCCCTCAGCCTCTCCTCATAAGTCATGTGTTCCAGTCCCCTAATAATTTTTGTTGCCCTCCACTGGACGTTTTCCATTTTTTTCACATCCTTCTTGTAGTGGGGGGCCCAAAACTGGACACAGTACTCCAGATGAGGCCTCACCAATGTCGAATAGAAGGGAACGATCACGTCCCTCGATCTGCTGGCAATGCTCCTACTTATACATCCCAAAATGCCATTGGCCTTCTTGGCAACAACGGCACACTGTTGACTCATATCCAGCTTCTTGTCCACTGTAACCCCTCGGTCCTTGTCTGCAGAACTGCTGCCGAGCCATTCGGTCCCTAGTCTGTAGCGGTGCGCGGGATTCTTCTGTCCTAAGTGCAGGACTCTGCACTTGTCCTTGTTGAACCTCATCAGATTTCTTTTGGCCCAATCCTCTAATTTGTCTAGGTCCCTCTGTATCCTATCCCTACCCTCCAGCGTATCTAT